CCGTCCGTAGCGCAGAGCGCGAGACGCCGATCTCGCCTTCACGGGTGGCGGGGCTGTTGCGCAGAAGGGCGGCACGCGCTCCTCTGGCTAGGCCGGAGGGGGTCCTGGGACCCAGATCGAAAGGATCATCATTATGAAGCGGGCTGGACGAGGCCGATGCCATCGCCGCCGCCGCCGCCGGCTGCGCGGAGCGCAGGATGGGCGGATTACGGTGTACTTGTTAAGGAATAAGGTTTGTATTGGGCTACTTTCTTAACAGTTGCATGCCAAGAAAGTAAAAATGCAGGGAAGGATGCCAAGCTTCCCCATGGCGCTCGGCTGTTACGCGATGAGCTCTACCCGGTCAAGGTCGACCACGTCAATCGCATAGCGGTACTAGACGAGATGGGCGACATTAGAGCTGGCGCCATCGAGGCTTTCAGCAAGGAGAATGATGTCCAAGTTGCGAAGATTGCGTGGCTCAGCAAGCGAGACACTCCGAAGGCATACGGTTCCATGGCCGTTTACGTTACCAAGGGATCAGACGCCGAACGACTGCTTTCGGAAGGCTTCTTCTATGCTGGAGGAGAGTCGGGATACACGGGTTCCTTCGAGCGACGACCGCGCCCAGAGCAGTGCTACAACTGTCAGCAAGTTGGGCATAAAGCATTCCAGTGCGAGAAGAGTCGAATCTGCGGTAAATGCGCCAGAGAGGGCCACCACCACAGCGCCTGCAACGAGACTGTCTACAAGTGCGTACTCTGTGATGGGCCACACGAATCGTTGAGCAGGAACTGCAAGAAGCTCTACCCGTCTGATCATGAATAACGTACTCCGAATGATACAACTGAATGTGGCGAAAAAGGGCCCAGTCCTTGACAGCCTACTGAACGACACAGATATTGAGGATGCAGGGGTGCTGGCAATCCAGGAACCGCAGGCGAGGCTGATAAGCGGGCGGCTACTAACTACCCCTATGGGGCATCACCGGTGGACGAAGATGGTCCCGCCGTTGTATAACGAGGGCAGGTGGGCGATCCGGAGTATGCTTTTCGTACGGAACGATCTGGATGCGGAGCAGGTACCGGTTGGGTCTGCCGATACAACAGCGGTACTGCTGCGGCTTCCAGGGCGCCAAATCCTTGTCTTCTCGGTTTACGTACAAGGATTTGACCACCAAGCGCTACGGGACGCATGTGCAGTCCTGCAGGAGGTAATCGAGAAAACCAGGCGGGGCACGGGCGAAGTAGTGGACGTGGTGATCATGGGTGACTTCAACCGTCATGATCAACTCTGGGGCGGGGAGGATGTTGCACTGGAAAGGCAGGGCGAAGGGGACAGGATCATCGAATTGATGAGCTCCCTCGCATTGAGTAGCCTTTTGCCCAGAGGCACAAAAACCTGGCAACGACGTGACCAGAAGACAACGATTGATCTAGTTCTCGCGTCCGAGGACCTGATCACCTCGGCAATCAGATGCGCAATACACAACACAAACCATGGATCCGACCACCAAGCCATCGAGACCATCTTCGACATCTCGACGCCGAAGCCATTAGTCCAAGAGCGGCTTCTCTTCAAAAACGCACCTTGGAAGGAAATCAATGCCCGAATTGCGTCTGCGATGCAAAGCCGGCCAGTTTGCGGCACAGTTCAACAGCAGGCAGACAGGCTCATGTCCGTGGTGTTGGAAGCGGTCCACGCCTTGACGCCCAAGGCGCGGCCGGCTCCGCACGCGAAACGCTGGTGGACTGCGGACCTGACCCAACTCCGTCAAATTCACACTTACTGGAGAAACCGGGCAAGGGCATCAAGACGGGCAGGACAAAAGTCCGAAGAGTTGGAACATTTGGCCCGTGGAGCTGCCAAACAGTACCACGACGGCATTCGACGACAGAAGAAGACTCATCGGCAGGAGTTTCTACCGGACAACAGGAACATCTGGAAGGCTGCAAAGTACCTGAACCCAGCCAGTGATGCAGCATTCGGCAAGGTACCACAGCTCGTGCGAGCCGATGGCACGAAAACAGTCAACAGCAAGGAGCAAGCTGAAGAGATGCTAGACACCTTCTTTCCACCACTACCGGACGTCATTGATGACGAAGGGGAACGGCCCCAGCGCGGCACAGCGATTGAAATGCCAGACATTACGCTTGAGGAAATAGAACGACAGCTTTTCGCCGCCAAGTCATGGAAAGCCCCGGGCGGAGATGGGCTTCCCACCATAGTCTGGAAGCAAGTGTGGCCAAGCACCACCACATCTTGATGCTTTTCAGTGCGTCGCTGAAGGAGGGAAGACTACCCACGCAATGGAAACACGCCAAAATCATCCCACTCAAAAAGCCGGATAAAGACGACTACTCCCTGGCGGGAGCGTGAAGGCCAATATCGTTGCTGTCCACGCTTGGGAAGGTCCTGGAATCGGTCGTGGCTGAGAGAATTTCCCACGCGGTCGAGACGTACGGCCTTTTGCCCACCAATCATTTCGGGGCACGCAAGCAGCGATGTGCCGAGCAAGCATTGATGCTGCTACAGGAGGTCTACACGGCCTGGAGGAACCGGCGCATACTCACGCTCGTGACTTTCGACGCGAAAGGTGCGTATAATGGTGTATGCAAGGAAAGGCTCATACAGCGCATGCGAGCGAGGGGCATACCGGAGGACCTGCTCCGCTGGGTTGAAGCTTTCTGCTCGCATCGCACCGCAACGATACATATCAACGGGCAGACATCGCAGATGCAGGACCTTTCGCAGGCCGGCCTACCGCAAGGCTCACCTCCATTACAGGTACTGTTCCTCTTCTTCAACGCAGATCTCGTTCAACAGCGGTTTGACCGTCATGGCGGGGCCGTGGCTTTGTCGACGACTTCACAGCGTGGGTTACGAGCACCATGGCGCAGGGCAACCGCGCCGGAATCGAAGCAATGTGGTGCAACCTTCAACGTACAGAAGACAGCGATCATACACTTTACTCGCAAACCGCACAAGTCAGATACACAGCCGTTCACGATCAAAGGCCAGCTCGTCTACCCTAAGACTAGCGTGAAGGTTCTCGGAGTCACTATGGATGCTGGCCTCAAGTACAACGAGCATATGGCTACGGCAGCTAACAAGGGGTTGGAAGCTGCAATGGGACTGCGGCGACTACGAGGCGTGACTCCGGCGACGGCAAGGCAGCTATTCGCATCGACAGTAGCCCTTGCGGTAGACTACGACTCCAATGTCTGGATGCATGCCTGCAAGAACAAAAGCGCCAGCGCAATTAATCGTGTCCAGAGAGTTGGAGCGCAAGCTATGGTGGGCACGTATCTCACTGTCGCAACGGTCGTGGCCGAAGCTGAGGCACACATCGCCAGTGCGCAGGAGCGATTTTGGAAGAGAGCGGTCAAGATGTGGACGGACATCCACACCCTGCCCACAACCAACCCGCTTCGCAGCGCGACATCCTGTATTCGGAAGTTTAGGCGTTACCATCGTTCACCATTCTACCAGGTTGCGACGGTGCTCAAGGAGATCCCTATGGAGGAACTGGAGACGATCAATCCCTTCACGCTGGCACCGTGGGTCGAGCGAGCTCGAACGATAATCGCCGATGAAACTGGGTCAGAAACGCCTGGAGTTGGCAGTGACGGAGTGGTACGCATCGCATCGAGATGTTCAGCAAGAAACGATGTTGTCGGGATCGGCGGCATCGTTGAGATACCAGCACCGACGCACGGGCCCGCCAGGGTCGAGCGATTCTCGTCAACTATCGGCATGCGGAAGAAACAGAATCCGTTCTCGGGAGAGCTGGCAGCCATTGCCTGTGCGTTGCAGCGCCTACCTGCGCTCGACCACCAGCACATCGTGTGCATGTCGACCAACAAAGCGGCCGTTCTCTCCCTCGGTAAACCCCGTCAGCAGTCGGGGCAGGAGCATCTTACGCACATTTACGACTGCATTGAGTCTCTGAAGGACGATAGAAACACTGTGACCTTTGCCTGGATACCTGCCAGCGCAGAGCATGAGCTCTTAAAGGCCGCGAAGGAAGAGGCGCGAAAAGCAACCGCGAAAGGAACCACCCCATCCGGTACAGCACCGCGAATGCGATCCACAACGTTGACTAGGGCTCGTGCAATCCAGCACATAGACAAAAGCATCCCAGATCACCTGGGCAAGCGCATCAGAATGGTCGATACTGCATTTCCGGGAAAGCACACTAGACGTCTATACGATGACTTGTCGAGAGATGAAGCTAGCGTGCTGGCGCAGCTTAGGACGGGCATTGGTGGACTAAATGGGTACCTGTATAACCTCAGATTGGCGGCATCGCCGCAATGCGCGTGTGGGCACGCGCCCGAGACGGCGGCGCATTTTCTATTCCAGTGCAGACAATGGGCAACGCACCGACACGAGATGATGCAAAGCACCGGGACCCGGCGAGGAGATCTTTCGTTTCATTTGGGAGGGAAGTCACCCTCGGACGACGCGACGTGGTCACCTAACATGGAGGCTGTTCGTGCAACAATACGCTTTGCGATAGCGACAGGACGGCTCACCAGTACTCGACATTGAAAACGGATTGAAACCACCCCCCCATTTTCTTCTCTTCTTACTAACTAGCTCTCGCGCTTTGGGCTCGGCCACAGGTCGCAGGCATCGCTTCAGCCGCCGAAGATAGGACCCCGAACACTTGAAGAACAGCCTTCAAGATCGCCTGCCCGGACATTAACCGTCCGAACCCTAGGAGAGTGATGGAAACTTCGTCGAACCTACACTGTTGGGACGTGTACTTTATGGGCTTTCAGGATACCATGCCAAAGATTGAGAAACGTGCATGTCCATAAGCAGATAGTTGCCTTATTGGCCCGCGGCCACCAGGCGTAATAGACATACAACAACTAACGCAATACAACCTGTCCTAGCTGCCGTGGGTTTTTGGTCCCTAGAGGGATTTTCCCCACGGCTGCGCAGCTGCCATCGTAGCTACTGGCGATGGGAGAAGACACGGCTTCTGGGCTTTGGGGCCTGGAGCGGATTATGTCTACCTGTGCAAGAGAATTCTGGGCTGGGCGGGATTCTTTCCCGCTGACGGGAATGCCCCTTCGCCGATACAGCGCCTTCGTGCCGTTGAGATGCTGGATAGGGAGGCGGGATGTTCCTGTGCCTTAGCTAGCCCAGCACGTCCTTTGCCCCGATAGGGGCTTTCAGTTATCATTATAGCTCCCGGACGTTAAATAATAATCATCATCATCATCATCATCATCATCATCATGTCCTCCTTCGGCTGGCATGACAGGCGAAAAGTCCATTAGTCTGCGGCTTGTCCTTCATTTAGCACACGAAATTCCATTCAGTCTTGTAGTACTCCTCCACGAGCAGCTCTATGAATTCAGATTCGCCTAGAATGTCGCCAGACGATTCCTCGCACCAAAGTCCTGGACTCGTTCTAGCGACCACTCCATCGCCGCAATTACTTGACTTATGCCCCTGAGCTCTTCCTTGGTGGGTTGGCCGGTGTGTGGCGCCAGCTGTTTTCCAACGCCGTGTTTGTACGTGTCCGCAAATGTGTATAAACAATGAGACGATTCTTTGATCTATGTATTGTAAGTGCCTAGTCTGCTCGGCTCGACCGTACGGAAGGTCAGTACCAGTGCCAGCAGCTGCAGATTGAGCAGGTTCTCAATTGGAAGTTTGCGCTGCGATGAGTCCGTTGAGCGTCGCGGGTGCTTGGCCTGCCGAGCGCTCCGACGGCGAGCGTGATGTCCCATGCTTACTGAAGGGCATAAGTCATACAAAGACCGCGGAGACTAAACTGGTGGCGAATGCATGCGCCGTGTCAACGATGTGAAAATGGCTTGATATGCCAAACATGTATACGTAAATGGTGCGGCTGAATTAGCATCCGCTGGGTTTTGATGAGCGACCCACCGTCCACAGTGGATGTTTACCAAGCTTGACGGGGCAAGTTTTGTTGAAGACATGATATAAACATTCAAGAAAATGCTTCGAGTCCCGTGACCAGTGTTTTACGGTTGTAGCCTCGCGTGGTGCCAGATATGAAACCGCAATGACCCTTGACACTGTCCGTACGGTAACGGTGAAGCCGTGGTTCTCACCGTGCATGCGGACACTGTCTCAGCACCTTAGGCTTCGAATATCCTGTCCCAGTCTCAGAGACGTATCTCATAGCATGTGTTCCATGAGTCGCTCATTCTAGAGCAACATGTGAATCACCTCTCTGGACAATGTCTTGGGCGGTAGTTTGCTTGCTGGGCCTCTCATAAATTCCACGGCGGGATCGATATCCGTCAGGTGACCCAAGAGACGATAGGTTAAGGCCAAAAAGTATGTGATGGCTTCGCGTGTCCGTGTCATCCGAGGAATACTTGCCCTTTCCGCCCCATGGCCAGCGCAGCTCGAAGAGCCAATGCACCATTTGTGGTGCCACACGCATGTAGTTGACTAGCAAATTCAGCACCGGTCTCCGAGACATTTTGACAACATCAGAAACAGCGTCACATATGTCTGGGTGGGACACACAACACGGTTCGAAAGGACTACAGCATGTGTCTAGCCGTCCACCGTAATGGTGACAAAAACGAGTACTGCTTTCACTGTTCATTTCATCACCACGGGCCAAGTCCTCGGTGCCAAGGCAGCAGCATCTTCGAGCACGATGCTGTTGCTAAGCAACAGACTTAAATTCTCATCCGATTCAGTGTCAGCTGAGACACGGCAACTGTATTTGCCGCCGTAGCGGTGTAGGATCTCCACAACGCCTATGACGTACTAAGCCAGCGTCCTGCGAGACAAGTTTGTAGGCCCAACCAGCTGTTGGATGCTGATACTTGTAGACGTGGATCCCACAACAGGAACATGAGCTTCGCAAACGTATAAAAACATTTATCGGCCGTGTCATGCACTGCGTCCCGTTCATCATCATTCTTCTCATCCTTGTTCCTGTCCTTGTTCCTCTCTCTCTGAATTCCCGCGATCACTACACTGCGCCAGCCTCCAGCCGTCGACCATCATGGCGGCCAAATGGGAGTACGCCACTGATCCGCTACTGGTTCATGCGACAAAAGCAATCCTTGATCAATGGGGCGCGGACGGGTGGGAGCTTGTGACTGTTGTAGCCGGTTCGACCGCGGAGCAACTGGTGGCGTATTTGAAGCGGCCTAAGAATTGACGGACGATGCCACCATGGAAGTTGATGAGCCGGACTGTGGACGGGACAAAAAAGCACTTTTTCAACCCTCTAAACGAGACGGATATTCAAGGAGGCCGCCTCACTTTCGCCTGCTGTCATATCGAACATGGAGGATCCATGCGGAGTCAGGGTCATTTGATGGCTGAAGAGTGAATACACGACGCGGTTCTGGCTACACTGGAGACTTTAGCACTGCCAAATCAGCAGAGTAAGCCGCTGGCTGCTGCCAGCTCCGTACGTTTACAAAGTGTCCGGACAAAAATGAGATTCTGAAAGTGGTACCTCTACGGCGAAGCGTCCCGCGCACGTGGCCTTACGCCCCGGACCCATTTTGCATTAAGGCCTACAGAGCTACATCCCTTGTCTACAAACATCCGGCCGGTAAACAGGGATACAAGAAACTCTCGCGATTGTCTAAAAGCGGGAAGAACCACCTCAACCCGAGCTGCCAATACATCTGGTTCAACGACGCTCTAGACTAACACACTCCGTCGCCCTCCCATCGCTCGGTCATATCTCACCACCCTGCGCACCAAGCGATTTCGCTTGTTTGGCCAGATCGTAAGGTAAAGTCTTGTCACCAAAGACGAACCTCCCAGTATCGTCGGCCAGTTTCCGAACCCAGAGCTCTGTGTCTATGACGAGCGCATCCCAGCAGCATTCAAAAGGCCAGGCCTTACACTTACTCGCGTCAAACCACGCAGTGTTATACCCAGGAACAAGTAGTCCCGTGAACCCACTTTCGTCCAACCTCAATAGTACCTCGTAGACGCCTTCGTCTGTCAATGCAGCACAGTAGCGAAATGCACGGTTCGCCAACCGCTCCCGCAAAACGCAGAGCATCTTCGAAGGCAAAGCCCCGACGGATGAAACCCATCGAAGACAATACCACTCTCGGCATAAAGCTGCTTGCTTCAGCGGCTCACAGGCCGGATGCTTACAACACGAAGTGCCAAAGCACGCAGTTGTAATCACTTTCGCATTTATGCCCTCAGGATTGGGCGAGCGGTTGCATGCTGAATTCGGAGGGGTGGAGCTGCCTGTCTCCAGGCCGGACCCTGCCATGATGCCTCCAAAACAGGCAAATGCGTCAATGACCCATTCATCCGCGATGAAACAGTGAAAGGATGCCTTATGGCCGTCGCCGTTGCCTCGAGAATCCCAAAGGGTGCGATAACGCTAACACCATGGCCCCATAGCCGCCAAGAATGCATATCTCTCGACACGGTCACCTCGTTCGCGAGAAAATAGTGAAAGATACTCACTTTTTGTTGATATAATACCCTCAGTCTTGGCATATCTCGTGGCCGCTGCCCGGCAGCGTGTCAGTTCAAGAACTTCAACGAGGCGAGTTCAAGGGATGGTCACCTTTCAGCTCCCCTTCGGTCTCCCGACTAAGTTGGGAAAGGTCTTCACAAGATCAAGTTTGCTCCCGGCCAAAAAGGGGGGGCGGGGGCTGTCAGCTCTTGTCTCAGCCTGGTGACTTCGTTATGTGAGGGCTCTTCACAGTTGCTTTGTCTTGCCAATCACTAGTTGCAAGCAAGATGCAAGACAACCTGCATCATTTCTCTCCAATGTTTTGCTTCCTTCAGCCGCTCTCGCGTTTACTGACAATCTGTTCCGTTCTGCTCCGCAGTCGCAGGACTCGCACGGGATGAATACTACTGTCTATTTTCGCCATCTCCTTTTTGCGAAAAGCCACCCCCCTGCCAGTTTCGGCCTCTGTTGTTGGCTGCCGTCTGTTTCACCGGCCGCTCCATCCTTTTTCACCGAAAAAGGACCATCGTTCAGCGCCCGGAACACGGACACGGCCGAGCGGACTGCCCCACTCGCCGTGGAACGGTCCGATAGGTTCGGGCGGCTCGCTACTTGATACGCGAAATGAGAAGGGGCGCAGGTATTTTTTTCCTTTCTGTGCACAGGGGAGGCAACCCGTTCGCGGGTTGCGCAAAGAAGCCTTGAGGAACGAAATTGGCGACGGCGAAAATAGAAGCCAAGCAGTATGAGAGAATTCGCATGCAAGAAGGCGGTTTGCACGCGGCATTTGTGCCCAGTGGTCCTCTTGTTACGATCAAATGGCCATGCATTAGTGGTGTCTCTGATGCCGAGGGTTGCGGGGTATGCTGCATCGCTGCTACTGATGGGCCTTATCACCACATGCTACGTGTCGCAAAAGCAACAAGGGGTTCACAGTTTCGAGCGACGCAACATCATTTAAGTATGGACGTCTACGGTTAGGGGATGAGGTTTAAATTTCAGCATCTTTCCACTTTCGATGTTCCCGGATCGCTGCTTACCCAAACAGACCATGGCAACGTCGACAATTCCGTTTCGTTTCTTCTGCAATGAGGGCACGAAGCAA